GGGGGGGGGGGGGGGGTGGTAATGCAGGACAGCATCACTGTACTTAAAAAAAAAGAAGCTAACTCGCCACGTAGGTTTTCATTTTGGTTCGTCCAGCAACATTTCTGCTGACAAAAGGAAATTACAGTGTGGGAGGAGGGAAAAAATTCAGGCAGAGTTGTTTAGGTGGACTCGAGTGCTGTGTCAAATATCCACCCAAACAGTCGTGAGTGATGAGAAAAGCCAGGAAGTCAGACACTACAGAAACAACCACAAAAGTAGGAAAAGAGACGTCCAACCAGGCTGAAGCTTTTAGAAAAGTCTTGTGAACCATGTCTGCTTTCTATTTCTGGATGTTTCCATGAATAAAACACACCCAAAAAAAGACTTCATTGTACTTTTTAGCAGCAACATCAAAACAATAATTGTTAAAGCTGTTAAAGCTGACTTCATGTCTACCAGATGCTTCACATCCCACATTTTGTTGGAGTCAAACGGGGGGGCCGAATTCCCTTTGGCATGAGGAGTAGACTTTAATCAGTGAAAAAGGATGCTCGTTAGACACAGACAGACATTTAAAGGTCACATAGTTGCAGTCTGTAGGCTTTCTTACTCCAAAAACTAAATGGGCAAAATCGGAAAACACACGTCTACAGATTAATTTCACCACGAGGAGCTTGGAGAGTTGCTCCATGTGCTGCAGCTCTGTGAGGAGGGTGTGGACCATTTGTTTGTTCGGATGTTTTCCATTTGCTCAGGAATGTTCTCCGAGCTGTTGGTTAGAAATGATCTGAGAGACTCTGAACGCACAAACAGTAAATCCTCCCACTAACCAGTCGTATGATATCAGGGTTTCCATCTTCAGCTGGGCATTAGAATCAAAGGGTGAGTGGCAAGCAGACCGAGACGCCTTGAAACTCCCTAACAACAAATGAAACATTGGACATAAAAGCCATCTTTCATCTTATTCCTACATGTTTGTTCATTAGGCTGTTAACTTTAGAACTACATCTTCCAAATATTTAACCAAATTAACTCACATTTTACAAGTTCTGAATAAAACAAGCATCTGGAACCCAGAAGAAACCTTCAACCATTATGGCTTCAAATGCAAGCACGAAAGCGTTTCTCATAATATGGCCGACACCAATATACAGCTGCTTGACGCAAGTGAGGCTGATTAAATAAAGTGCCACCAGAAACAGTTACTGCACATCATAGCAACTAGAGTAAAAGCGAACCTATTAAAATATGACCTTTTCTGTGATTGAGAACGTTTTGGAGGTCTGACGTTCCAGCTAAAACAAATAAAACACAACAAAGTACAAACTTATCCTGTGTATATATAAACCAAGGTGAATTGTTGGATCATTGATTTAAGTAAGAGAAAAAAAACAGGTTTTTAGATTAAAAAAATATTAGAGGAAAGAACAGGAAATCCCACTAGAGACTTGCATTTACCACGCAAGCCATGTTTGCAAATAATCAAGGAGAAGAAATTTAGAAAATCTTCTGGCAACATTTTCTGTATTAATAGCAAAAAACCCACATTCATTTCCTTAAATGCATTTCCACTGCTCTTTAGGCTCCAACACACAGCTGAAAACCAATAGGCATCAACTAAAAAATGATTTCCACTGCGGAAACGTTCCAGGCATTTAGAGTATGTTAACAAAAATCATGTTTGCAAAGCCCTCTATCTGTCTTGGGTTTCCAACTTGTTGGCTAAACACAACATTCCCTTGTGGCCATGTGACTGAAAACATTTGACTTTATCACATGAATGAATAAATACATTCTGGACAACAATACTCCGACACTTGGCACAAATACTTGCTTCATCAACATAAAGAACCCCTTTCTTTTTTTTTTTTTTTGTGATGGCCTCCCTTCTCCCCCTTTAGCCAAGGGTAAGAACCCCTTTCTTAACTGGAGAGGGTGTGGGAGGTTTATGAAAACATTTTTAAGAGTTGTGAAATATAGGAAGCATAAACAGATGTTATTTTAGGTCATCTTTTTATTTTACCTAAAATATTGTAGAAAGGAGGGGGAACCAGCTAATTAAAGAGGTTGTCAGTCAGTTTTCTCATTGTATTACGTCTTTACAGAGCCGGCTCTTGGCATTGGCGAACTAGGCGGTCGCCTAGAGCGCCATCTGCTGGAGGGGGCACCGAACTGCAGAAGAAAAAAAATTATTTGTTATCCCTGGTTGTAACTCTGCTCAGCGCGCCTTTCATTTAGCTTTTTCTTAAAAAACAATGATGAAGTATTACAGGAAAAATAAACTACTCCTACTACTAATCCTACTGACATCCATTCTGACACAGTGAGGACTGAGTTTGTCAGCTGAGGACCTTATGAGGTAAAATCAGACTTATATTTTCCAAAAAGAGAGGACCTTCTAAATCTTTGCACAAATTGTGAACAGGGTCTTTTGTTTACCCTTGTCATTTGATTTAATTATATCTACTTTATTTATTAATTTAATTTGTTGTGTGATATTTGTGTTTAAAGCAAATAAATCTAAGTTTACCATAGTAAACT